CTCCCAACAAGCGCCTAATTTAACGTCGCGGCACGACGTGAACCACTTTTTGCCTCCACCTCGAATTTATGAATTGAGCCCCTAACATGGCATCCAGTTTGCGGCTATACTCCAGTGGTAAGGCTACAAAGATAACCAGGCCAAATAATAAAATTTTTACTCTACACCTCTCGGCCTTTAGATGAGGAATATAATTTTTGCTTTTTGGCACGACAAATTCAAGAATATAGGCACTCTCATCCTCACTCTTTGACTCCCCCATTGGCTCAGATAGCTTGATTACTATCTTACTATCTAAACACAATGTTAGAAAAATGATTGGAATGAGGACCAATACGCCATAACTCTAGAATTTTATTACTTTTTACATCCTCATATTTACATACAAAAGAGTCTTCAAATATAACATTATCTGCTTCCTCACATGGCTCTAGTGTACTTTTCTTAACATGGGCATCATCAACAAAAATATGCTCGAATGATTGGCTCTCCACTTTTAGCTCCTCAATTTGGCGTATAAGCTCATTTTCAGCTTTACACAACTCATTACTATTTTGTTGGGCGTTAGACGCATCAACCTTTGTATTCAATTGAGCCTCTAAGTCGTGAATAGTAGTGCCAAATTTATCGATCTCTTGTCCCAATTCAGCTTTTCCTTCTATAAAGTATCTCATCTTATTTGTAATTTCCTCAAGTTGAGCCTCATATATTTCTAATCTTTCGGATTGTTCCACCAACGAATATGCTCAAAATCTCTACTTTTTCAAAATTGTCTTCTTGCTGGAACTCGCTCTCTTCATTCAATTCTTCCATATTGACCTTCATTTTTGTGATTGTTGCCCTCATTCTTTTCATATCTTTTTGTAGTTCATCTTGCTGCTTTGCTACTTGCCTCAATATATCCCTAATATATGCATCACGATCCATATCTTGCACTTCATTGCCCTATCAAACTCACAAATACTGTTAAAAAGATCATAATATGGGCTCAGAGAAAGATAAAAAGAATTAGGACAATTATCCCAATGACCACCTTGATCACCACATATATTATAAATATTACACTCACAGGATTGAGATTGTGCGCACAACTCGCTCCCGGGAAAATTCTGACAATATTTTCATCAGAGGGGTCCTCCACAATATGGACAAGGATCATCAAAATAAGAATAACCATCATTCGAACGATTTTTATTCCAAGATGCCATGCTAAAATAAAAAAAAAATACTAAACTAAAACAAAAAAAAAACATGAACAGATAAAATAAATAAATAAATATCTAATCTAGAAAAATAGCTAATTTCTAAGTCCCCGGCGACGGCGCCAAAAACTTGTTGCGGCCAAACGCAACACGCGAGTATACGTCAAGTAATAAAGTGACTAAAAGTCGGACGTCGAACACACGAGGACTTGTGATTAACTATTAACTAAATTAGATTATCCTAATTATCTGAACAAGGATTAAACCCAAAAGTAATGCTAAAGTAATTAAACTAAAAAGAAAATAACTAATGAACTTTAAGCAGAGGAACAGCAGATTTTTATATTATCAATGTGATGAAAACGATCTAGGGTAGGGTTATGAGCTATCTAACATTCCTATTGTATTCTTCAATTGAATTGACTAACTAATGTATCTAGTTTATTGGTTAACATGGTTAATATTGCTCATAAGAATCTTACTCGCCTATTCAAACTAACCTAACGCCTATATGTCTATGGAATTAGAACTAACAAGAACGCGTTTATAATTCTTGTAAATCAACCAAGCAAGGCAATAAGGTATATGTCTATCCTAACCGCGAATCCGTTCCTCAATGCCCAGGTTTAAGAACTTGCTCTACTCAATCTTATGTGCAATCTAGAATTTCCACTTTCGAGTTCAATTCTAGATTCGTAGATAGTATTCAATTGGTGATCAAACAATCAAATAATTAAGTGCATGATTGAATAAATAAACTAATACAATAAACTAAGAAATTAAAATCAATATTCGAATAACAATAGTCATGAAAGAACCACCCTAGAACGTGAAATTTAGCTCCACATAGACATGATAGCAAAAAAATAAATCATACAAATAAACATAAAAATTACTAAGTTTGGTGAGAGAAAAGATGAAACCCGGCCTCCACGATGGCTCTGTGCTCTCCCTTGGTCAAAAGTTACTATCAAAAGCGTTCTTCCATCAAAATAAGTTTAGGTTGGCTTTTATATGAGTTGGGGGCGTCTTGGGGTCGAAATAACCGAGTCCCGATCGAAATAGGACAGGTTCCCATTTTAAGCGTCCATGGCAGCGAGGGGCGCTGGCCCTGGCGCTCAACTTTCCAACTTTCTATTTTGTGCGCCACGGACAGCGCCCCACGCTAGGGCTGCTTATCGGGCGGATTGGGCAGTTAATTACTCTTAACGGTTTGGCTTGACGATTATCGGCTTTTAAATATATTAATCTGCTAGTCACCCGATAAGATATCAGGCGGATTGGTATCGGTTTAGCTCTTATCGGGCGGTTTATCGGCCTAATTCAATCTATATTGCGTGCATTAATTGTTTGTTGACCGCCTAGCATACAAATTCAGAATAGAAAATTATACATTGAGTCCAAACATACATGTCTGTTAACGCCTACATAAGAATGATGTAGTGAGTCATGTGTTGTAGAGTGAAAAAAAATGTGGCACAACACTGCTGTTCTTCTATTAAACATAGACAACAGGCATTAGTTTAAAAAAATCAAAGCAGAGGTGAACCGTAGACAGCAACTTAAACAATCTTGTTGTAGGGTGGGAGAATAAGCTAAGCTAAGCCAAACCTGGGATCTTCTGATGCATAGTACGTAAGAGTTCTGATTATTTAGGAATTAGGCATTAGAACTTAGAGATAGAGCACTGGAAGAAGTGGAAGGGTTTTTGATATTTAATATATATATATATTCTTAACGGGTTAACGGATTATCCGTTAAGAAAATTGAATAATCCGCCCTCAAACCGATAAGCCGTTAATAAAAAAATTTCAATCTGTTCCCCGTCCGTTAAACCGTTAACCCGATACCAATAAGCCATTAAGCTTCGGTTTCGGTTCGGTTTTGAACGCCCCTACCCCACGCTGCCAGTAGCCCTCAAATGTGCACTTCTGCCTTTTCTTCCCATTTTCGCTGCAATTCGCGCACTTTCGTCCCAAATCGCATCTGAATGATTCCTACACATAGAAATCTCACAAATTAGCATAAATCATTATATTATACATCCGAAATCTACGAGACATGAGCATAATGCGAGAAAATATACACCAAAATAAGCATACATTAAGTCGAATATCACTTATTTTCATGTGTTTACATTAGTTCATGAACTAGAATATTAATTTAGTACATGTTTTAGAGTATGAACACATTGATGTACTTTGGAAGATATAATGTCTAGTAGTATCATCCATGTACCTTAAAAGATGTGAGATGTGGACTTAGTTATTATGTTTACATGTAGTGTAGGCTAGATAGGCTAGATACATAAAAGATTTCTCCTATAAATAGCCATATATTCCTAGCCATTGGGAGCAAGTCAAGTTAAATAGAAATCATCATTTCCTCCACTTTCTTCTTTGTGGGTTTTGAGCATTCATTTATGTTGTCTTGCTCTCCCAAATTTTCTAACATTGTGATATCAGAGCCGGTGTGTTTGAGAGACAGCCAAACTTGAAGAGAAAATGACAAATAGTAATGGAACTCCATTTCAAATTCCTATGCTCACAAAAGAGAACTATGGAAATTGGTGTATCCCCTTGCAAAAGAGAAGAAATTTGAATACTATACTTGTCATAAATTTGATCACTTTTCCGCTTGAATATTATACTTGTCATAATATCCGCTTGTATTATACTTGTCATAAATTTGATCATTTTCCTAGGAATGTAAAAATAATGTGGAGAAAAAAAAAATTATGGAGAGCAAAAATGAAGATGGAGATGGTATTTTAGTTCTCGCTTGCAAAAGAGAAGTGTAGAGAGAAATCAATGGTACCTTGACTCCGGTGCAAGTAGCCATATTTGTGGAAAGAAGAATTTATTTGTGGGAGCTTGAAGAACTAAAAGAATTGAACTTTTAGAGACTCTTCGCGGGTTAAAATCAAAGGAAAAGGTACGATTTTAATTCGCTTGAAAGATGGTAGTCACCAATTAATTTTTAGTGTTTTGTATGTACCGGAGATGAAAAGTAATATTTTATGTTTGGGACAACTTTTGGAGAAAAATAATGATATTCATTTGAAAGATAAAAAGTTATTCCTGAGAGATGAAAATGGGAGATTGTTAGTCAAAGTTCCTATGGCTAATAATAAAATGTTTGTTTTGAAACTTCAATGTGATGTTCCAAGGTGTTTGCTTTCATGTACCAAAGATTCATCTTGGCTTTGACATATGAGATTTGGTCATGTGAATTTTGATAGTCTAAGGTTGATGAAGAAAGAAAGCACGGTGAATGGATTGCCAACTATTGATCATCCTAGCCATATTTGCGAAGGATGTCTCTTTGGAAAGCAAGAAAGAAAAAGCTTTCCTAAAGAGTCTTTGACTAAAGCACTATGCCCATTGGATTTGATTCACATGGATGTGTGCGGACCAATCAAGTCATCTTCACTTGGTAAAAGTAATTTTTTACTTTTCATTGATGATTTTTCTAGAAAAACTTGGGTGTATTTTTTGAAGGTGAAATCGGAGGTGTTTGATACTTTCAAAAAATTCAAAAGCATGATGGAGAAACAAAGTGGCTATCAAGTTAAGTCATTGCGGTCTGATAATAGTGGAGAATTCACTTCAAATGAATTCAAGGTTTTTGTGAAAATAATGGAATTCGTCACTTTTTGACTGTTCCAAGATCACCACAACAAAATGGCATCGTGGAAAGAAAGAAATGGACTATTCTCAACATGGCCCGGAGTATGTTGAAGAGCAAAAATATGCCAAAGGAGTTTTGGGCTGAAGCAGTTGCATATGCAGTGCATTTGTCAAATCAGTGTCACACCAAGAGTAATCGTGACAAAACACCTCAAGAGGCTTGGAGCGGTTTCAAGCCAAAAGTTGGTCATTTGCGAGTTTTTGGGAGCATTGCCTATGCACATATGCCGGATGAGAAGAAGTCCAAGCTTGATGATAAAAGTGAGGTATGTTTTCATTGGTTATGATCAAAGTTCTAAAAGTTATAAATTATATAACCCAAGAAATTGCAAGATCACCATAAGCAGAGATGTTGAGTTTGATGAAGATAATGCTTTTGAATGGAAAACTAAAGAGCAAGACTACTCTTTTAGTCCTTTATTTGATGAAGATGATGATGAAGTTGCGGAGCAGCCTATCACACCACATTCAACACCTCAAGCACAAGTTCAAGAAGAAGATGAGTTAAGTTCAAGTTCTTCAAGTGAAGTGCCTCAGAAAACTAAAAGTCTTCATGAGTAAAATACGAAAGTGGTAAGAAAAGATTTATATGATTTGACTGACTTTTGTTTGTTGATGGATATTGAGCCTTTAACTTATGAAGATGCTTCCCAAAATGTCAAATGGAGAGATATTATGGAAGAAGAAATCAAGGCAATCAAGAAGAATGATACTTGGGAATTAGCCATACTTCCAAAAGGTAAAAGCATCATTGAAATCAAATGGGTGTACAAGTGAAAGAAAAATTCCAAGGGTAAGGTGGAAAGGTACAAACCAAGATTGGTTGCCAAGGGATACAAGCAAAAGGCCGGTATTGACTATGATGAGGTATTTGCACCGGTTGCTCGTTTCAAAACAATTCGTTTTATTATTTCTTTGGCGGCTCAAAATCAATGAAAATTTCATCAAATGGATGTGAAGTCGGCTTTCTTGAATGGTGTTTTGGAGGAAGAGGTTTACATTGATCATTCTTTGGCTACAAGGTTGAAGGACATGAAAATAAAGTTACGGAGCTTGAGCACGTGAAGTCACAAGATAAAATTGCGGATATTTTCACCAAGCCGTTGAAGATTGAGCTCTTTCAAAAGCTAAGGATGGCTCTTGGAGCGATGAAAAAAGTTTAGGGGGGATGTTGAAATGTGAACAATATAAACTTATTTCCATGTGTTTACATTTGTTTGCATAAGTTCATGAACTAGAATATTAATTTAGTACATGTATTAGAGTATGAACACATTGATGTACTTTGAAAAATATAATTTCTAGTAGTATCATCCATGTACCTTGAAAGATGTGAGATGTGGACTTAGTTATTATGTTTACATGAGTGTAGGCTAGATACATGAAAGATTTCTCCTATAAATAGTCATGTATTCCTAGCCATTTAGAGCAAGTCAAGTTGAATAGAAATCATCATTTTCTCCACTTTCTTCTTTGTGAGTTTTGAGTGTTCATTTGTGTTGTCTTGCTCTCCCAAATTTTCTAACATAAAGAATCTTTACATTGTTAATGTACATAACTTAAATCTTTCTGGAAAAAACACGAAAATGTCCTCTTTTCACATTGAAAGCATCCAACATTATGTTTTACTAGAAAATTGAAAGCATATATATTTCAGGCACGTAAAAAGCTTGTGGCTATCTTCCAAACAATCGCGGATGAGAGAAGAGAGAAGGAAGCAAAATGAGCCTACAGAGAAGAAAGAGATATGAATATTCTGTTGGAAGTTGAAGATGAGAATGGTAGAAAACTGAATGATGAGGAAATCTGATGTTCTAATAATGTACCTTAATGCTGGTCATGAATCTTCTGGTCACATCACAATGTGGGTTACTATCGTTCTGCAGAAACACCCCGAGGTCTTTAAAAGAGCTAAGGTAGTCAAGACTTCATCATTTCAAAAAAGTAAATAGTCACCTTAAAGTTTGTTATTTCTCAAGAACATGTTTTGTTCTAAAAATGGGCAGAGCAAGGGGCAATTGTAAAAAGTAGGCCAACTGACCAGAAGGGTGTGACAATAAAAGAAATTAGGCAAATGGACTACCTGTCAAAGGTAACTTTCTGTTTATTATCAACACTATGCGTAGTTTTTTTTTCTCCAGCCAATTCCATGTACCTACCAAAATTCATCCGTAATCTTGAATCTTGAAGGTGATCGATGGAACACTTCGTGTTGTTGCCTTCTCCCTTGTAGTCTTCCGATACATGGTAAGTTACAATCTCGTTCGTCTTACATTTTGCTTCAGTAAAACCACATTGTGGCTGACGGACTGGACTCGCTTGGTTTCCAGGATATACTATTCCAAGAGGACGGAAAGTTTTAGTATGGTTTAGGTTTGTTCACTTGGATCCTGACATCTACAATGACCCAAAGGAGTTTAATCCTTCTAGATGTGATGTAAGTTTAAAAGCCATCTGTTTCACCTCCCTGAACACCCTGTCCACCCCCCACCCCACCCCAACCCTATAACACCAACCACTAATTAGAAAGTATAAACGTTCTTACTTTTCCTATTTGTTACTCTTTTTTGATGGCTCTCTAGGTCGTTTAACGTCATTTTAGGACGAAGAAGATGCCTGAAGAGTGGAGGTGGAGTACGATGGTTCCGTTGTACAAGAACAAGGGATATATCCAAAACTGCAACAACTATAGGGGGATATCAAGTCGTTGAGCCATACGATGAAAGTTTGGGAGAAGGTGATAGAAGGGAGGATGAGAAGGAGTGTGTCCATTTTCGCGAACCAGTTTGGTTTCATGCCGGGGACGATCGACTACTAAAGCCATCCACCTGGTGAGGAAATTGGTGGAGCAGTATAGGGTGATGAAGAAGGCCTTGCATATGTATTCATTGACCTAGAGAAAGCTTATGACAAAGTCCCGAGAGAGGTTCTATGGAGATGTTTGGAGGCTAAGGAAATGTTTGTAGCGTATATTCGAGTGATTCAGGACACATATGATGGAGCTAAGACACGGGTAAGGACAGCAGGAGGAGACTCTGAATACTTCCCAATTGAAATGGGGTTGCATCAGGGATCAGCACTTAGCCCGTTTTTGTTTTCGTTGGCAATGGTCGCATTGACGCGACTCATTCGAGGGGAGGTGCCTTGGTGCATGTTATTTGCAGATGACATAGTTCTGATTGATAAGACACGTGGTGGTGTTAACGAGAGGCTGGAGGTTTGGAGACATACCCTTGAGTCTAAAGGTTTCAAGTTGAGCAGGACCAAGACAAAATAGTTAGAGTGCAAGTTCAGCGGTGTTACTCAGGAAGCAGACGGGGATGTGAGGCTTGATACGCAAGTCATTCCCAAGAGAGAGTTTAAAGTACATGGGGTCTGTGATACAGAGTGATGGGGAGATTTATGAGGATGTCACACATCGTATCGGAGCAGGGTGGATGAAATGGAAGCTCGCTTCCGGTGTCCTGTGCGATGAGAATATGTCGTTAAAACTTAAAGGTAAGTTCTACAAGGTAGTGGTTAGACCGACTATGTTCTATGGGGCAGAGTGCTGGCCAGTTTAGAACTCCCATATCCAGCAGATGAAAGTAGCTAAAATGAGGATGTTGAGATGGATGTGTTGACATACAAGGTTAGATAGAATTGGGAATGAAGTTATTCGGGACAAGGTGGGAGTGGCCCATGTGGAGGAAAAGATGTGAGAGGCGAGGCTGAGATGGTACGGGCATGTTAAAAGGAGAAACACATATGCCCCAGTTAGGAGGTGTGAGAGGTTGGCCTTTGGGGATAAGAGGAAGGGTAGAGGTAGGCCAAAGAAGCCTTGGGGAGAGGTGATCAAACGGGACATGGCACAGCTTGAGCTAACCGAGGACATGACTCTTGATAGGAGGGTGTGGAGGTCAAGAATTAGGGTAAAGGTTTAGAGATAGTTGAGTGTTTCCCTTTGTCTTCCTTAGTTCAATAGTATTAGTGTTAGTATGGTATCCCTTTTATCCTTAGTTTGTTATTACCACATATCTTGTACTGTTATTACTTGCCATCAGTACTCCCTTAGTTTGCTATCACTACATATCTCGCACTGTTATTACTTGCTATCAAAACTTCTTTCATCTTCTCCTTTGCTATCTTGGATTTAGTTTTCTAAATATCTTGTATTGTTATTACTTGCTATCAGTGCTCCTTCCATCCTTTCTTTTAGAAGGGGGTCTACCGAAAACAGTCTCTCTACCCTTCCAGGGTAGGGGTAAGGTTGCGTACATCATACCCTCCCCAGACGTCACTTGTGGGAATACACTGGGTTGTTATTGTTATTTTGTTATCCTTTTATTTGCTTTTTCCTTCCTGATCTTTAGGGTCTTGCACCCAAAGCATGACCTTTCCTTCCTTTTGGAGGGGGAAGCAGATTGTCCCCAGGAAATGATCTTGCCAAGCTAGAAATATCTATCTTTCTTCATTATTTTCTTCTAGATTACGAGTGAGTCAAATTTGCAAAAGCTTTCTTTTTCTCCTTCCTGTCTGCTTTTTGGTACTTCACTTTTTTGGTTGATTACTTAATGCTTATTTCTTGTGTTTTGCAGGCTTGAAAGGCAAACTCCTTGCGTACTTGCCTCATTGCAGGCCTAAAGATAACTGCTTGGGTAGAGTAAGAAGTGTTTCATCAACTGCAAGTGCATCGGCAGAATAGCAGAAGGAACAAGAAAACCAATCTCTCTCTCTCTCTCTCTCTCTCTCTCTCTCTCTCTCTCTCTCAGTATGGAAATTATGATATGGGGAAAGCAATGGCCAAAATTCTTTAGTTGGGAGTAGGTAGAAAATGCAAAAGAAAAAGGGAATCTGGCTGATGTAGAATCTTAAGAGTAGAATCTTAGGATGTACAGTAGCAACTACAACAGGACAGGTGGAATAGGATGAACTTACATTTGAGTTGGGTTGGGTGAAAGAAGGAGAGAGGGGTTGGAGAAAGAGGATCAACGGGGAGTAGTTAGGAAGCCAAGGAGAGGCACGTTCGGGTTTTTGAAACCTACCCTCCGGAACTTTTCCTTCAACTAATTTTTGGAAGTTTCATATCACAGATTCAACATATTCATGTGCTGATAGAGCAAGGTACATGGAGACCGGTAAATAAGAAAAATGGATACAATACTGAAGATCAAAGTAACCCCACTTTGTTACCATTACAAGATTAAAAATAACTATCACCTGTCATGCCCCTATAAAGAATTCACAAAGTTAACCATGAGAAGGTGCTTCGTACCTTGCCAATACCACTGACTTCTGACCACTCATGCAGCCTTCTATCAAGTCTTTTTCCTGCCTGCTTAATCTCAATTCAGAAAATGTTTCATTTTAATGTGGGCATATATAAACCATTAAGGAAGAAAAGAACAGAAGCTAAAGCAGTAAAAAGAACACAGCTGACAATTACAAACTGCTAAACTTCACTTGAAACTTGCTGTGATCAAATTACTGACCATATTACCAGCTGGGGCAGGGAGGTCGATGCTTACTAGTGGAAATATGTAGAACTAATGAAGCACTTTGAGGATGGAGGAATCAGGTTTCGAAGTCAAATGGGGCTACGAGACAAACATGTAGTATACATGCATCATACAATGGGAAGAGAATACTGCTACTTATTGCAATGTCAATGTGTAAAAACTTGGAATCTTGGATAATAAGATATCCTGTCCAAAGTCAAAAGATGTACCCTAGCGATATTTTTTGAAAGACAGGACATCACCAGGCCTGTGGATAGAAACAAACATAAAAATAAAAAAAATTCATACATACTCATTTTTTCCTCAGCAGACATGGCAGTAGCTGGTGTAGTGCTTCACAAGCATGGCTGGTAAGATAACATTCACAGCTTAAAGAAGACACTTCTCCGGGTAATGTTTCAAGTTCATGGTTGGAAAAACCACCTAACCTACACTGCAAAGCCATCACCTCCTTTTGCAACATTGATCACTCCAGATCTGCTGCTATATAGAGCAATAAAAGAAAAACTTGCAACCAACAGTAAATTTAGTACTATAGTAGATAATAAAAACCAAAACAGATAGGAATAATTCAGCTTTTTGCACGCTCAATTCTATTTCACCACATTTTAATACTTCGCATCTGAATGATTTCAACTAGAAGATGTGTTCTACTAGGACATGGGCTCAACTTGGTCGTACTTACTACTCTATTATTTCATCAATCATGAGAAATGCAAGATACTGAAGAATTTCCTGCCTTCTTGGGGTTTGCAACCATGGGGCTTCTTTTTCTAATTATGACTATGATTGGGCCCTACACGCTAGAGTAAACAGGAGGTACTCCTTCCTATTGACAAGCCTAATACAACGGAAATTAATGCATGAGTGAGCTGCAAGTTAGAATGATAGAAATGGCATATCATCAAAGGGTGAGAGCTATAAGCCAATGGCAGGAAACACCATCTGCAAAGTATAATTTACACAGAACAGCTCGAAGTAATTATAATTGCTCTCACCAGCTTGTAGACCCCAAGCCCACGTAGTTGCTAATTTTCGATTTGCAGATTTTTAAAGCATAATCACGCATTTGATAACATTTTTGCCTTCAATTGACAGAAAGTACCCTCTTGGAGCTACATAATTTCTCAATTCAGGAATTAAAAAGCTAGTAAGCTAAGCAAACATCACAACTGTTATTTTTCAACTTTAAATCTGAAACAGAAATTAAAGAGCATAATCTACTTAAAAGCTCTGAAAGATCATTGTTCTTATATGAGACTAAACAATTTACCAATATGTAGAAGAGTATAACGTAGGAAGGCGAAAATCTAACATGTATAAAAGATAAGAGAAGTTTCCTTACATGGAGCTAGAAAATATCTCAGTTCAGGTTAAAAAGCTAGGATGCTAAGCAAACATCATAAGTTGTTATTTGTCAATGATTTCAAGCCTGAAACAGAGACATTCACCAATATGATAAGCAAAAACAAGTTAGATGTTCATCTTCCTACATTGTACTCTTCTAAAGATGGTCCAAACTGCTGAACTTGAGAAAAAAACAAACACAAGCAGTTAAAATCTGCTCCATTGGAGAATTGATAGCAATAGAAGTTAAAAATGCAGCATGGGGGAGATATGTATATAATAAGCCAGAAAGGGGTAAGGTCTGCGTACACACTACCCTCTCCAGACCCCACTTGTGGGATTCCACTGGGTTGTTGTTGTTGTAAGCCAGAAAGGCAATAAAAAAAGAGAAACTTATTGAAGAATTCAACTAATATTGAAAGATACCATAATTTATGCCCAATTCACTTACAAAGTTCCTACAAAGAAACAGTGCGTCTATAAAGTGATTCATCATCACTTTCCTCCTCTTCTGATACATTATCACTGCCTGACATTTCTAACTTCCCACCCATACAAAATGATGGACCGGAACTTTCAGGCACTATATAATCACCATACAATCTCTCTTCAAATCTTTGGTCACTGCAGTTGAGAAACCAAGCCAAAGAACATTTGATTCCCTTGCTTTGCAACCTCTGGTACCTCGGCTTGATTCTTAATTCTAAGCTATAAGTGAAATAGTCCGGAAAGTCCACAAGTTCTTCCATTGGCCTGCCTATATCACTCTTGAAAAAGTAATAGCCATTTTTCATGAGGCCAACTTGTAAAGCAACTAACTGAGGACATTTTATAATCATCTTAGCCACATCATCAGCTGAAAAACCCCGTCCAAGAAGGAACTCTACAGGTTTCAATATAACATGCTGTTGAAGGCTAACAATTTGCGGCATCCTCTCAATTACACGAGCAAACCCATCAGTATCGATCTTAAGCTTCAACTTAAGGAAATACTGTTGTGATGACAGCTTAGCCTTCAAAGGCAAACCAAGAATTTGCGGATATTGTGCAATAACAGAAGGCAGAGCTTCCCTGCTAATTCCAAAACTAAGCAAGCAATTTACATTCACTTTCACTGTCTGTTCAAGATCATATCCAAGTAGATACGCCCGTTTCTCGATCATCCTTGCTAAAATTTTCTTCGGCAAACCCAACGAAAGCAAATAGTCCACAAACGGTTTAATCATGGTCCCAACTCTCATCCCCAATAAATATGGATATTGTGTTACAATTGGCCCTATATCCCTCGGATTAACCCCTATACTGACCAAGTAAGCTACTGAAGTACTCATCGTTCCCTCGAGCTTAAACCCTAACAACTCTGGGTATTTCATTAAAACATATCCAATATCAAGCTTCTCGATATCAAGCCCCCGTAAAAATTTGACAACTGGAACAAGCTCCACTACAACACTAGCATTCAAACATTGTGGATAACTTTTAACAAATTCACCAAGACTTGACCTTTGAATCCCTATTTTTTCTAAATATGTCAAAACAGGGATTACATTTTTCCTCACACTATATCCAACCATTAAGGGATACTCATTAATATCATCAATTGTTAAACCAATATTCTGCAGAAATTCGACACGTTCACGCATGATTTCAACTGTGGATGGCAATTCTTGATCCTCTAATTCATTAGTGACTATGCCTATACTTTTTAAATAGTCAGAAATTATAACTCTTGAGACAAGTTTTTCTTTATTCTTTTGCAATATTCCCCATGTTACTGAAGGCATTTCATACTCGGGGAATTTTTTTGGCGACTGAGTTGAAAAGGGTCTCTGATTTATAGACCTAGGAAGATGAATAAATATTTTTTGAGGTTTTTGGTAGGCTTTTTCAAGAATTATCTTCAAGAATGTATCTTTTCTTCTGAAAATTGAACTCATTATAGAGAATCCTTAATTTTTTGAGTTTAAAACTGTTATAGAAAAAAAAAAAAAAGGATAAATAGAAATGGATGTGGAGGGGATTAAAGATTTACCTTCATTCAAAAACGAAAGAAGCTCACCTCCATAGCTTCAAAGGGAATAGAGGGATTTGGTGTCAAAGACGAGGAGTTAACTTTCTTTATTTTCCCCAATATGTTTCGCGTTAGAAACAATGGTCGCATCAGTAACTGCGTTTTATAAAGGGGACTAGTTACCAAGAGGACTATGCCCCCGGTGGAGAGTCAAATGGGCGGGTTTTGCTAAATTTGGACGAGTCAAGATGGGTTAGGTTAATAAATTGGTCATTGTTCAATCCAGTTCAAAGTGTATTTGGGCTAAGATGAGCTGGGTCAAGATAGGTTAAACAAGGTATTTTTTTATTCTTATACACTATTTAAAACCTTATTACAAAAGATATTCATGTTTTGATATTTATTCGACCTAAACATATTTTAGTTACAAAATATATACAATCCATCTTAAAAGACACCAAATCCATTATTTGTGCGTTCAATAAAGAGATTTAGTTACACCTTTTTTCTTTTTTCTCTCATTTCCTCTCTCTTCTCTCTTTCTTATAACACAAGATTGGCCCATTTCCATATTTTAAAATTAGAGCGAGAAGGGGCAATTTGTGAACGGGACTGTGTCATTTTAAAATTAGAAACGCTTCTGGAGCAGCTTTTTCATTTTTCGCAAAATTGTACAAAGTTTTTTTCTAATGACATCCAGTTGGTTCTACCAAAAATTGAGGAAAAGACATACTCCATTTTTTAGGCAGTTGACATACCAAGTCTAATAAATTTAGTAGTATTGGTTGACGACTTCAATGGAGGAAAAGACATACTCCATTGAAGGTGCACATACTTTTCAAACAGGCTTGATGTTTACAAATTGGATAAAAATAAAGAAAAAGTGTTTCGCCCAGACAAGGAAGAGAACAGTTATTTGTTTCGTCTTTTTTCTTCCACGCCATTGAAATGCATTAGCTCAATACTCTTTTGGACCCTATGAAGTTGACAACTTCAAGATGTATAGAAAATTGGTTGATGATTGATGGTCCCATGAGTCATGACACGATTGCTTTCAGAGCGTCTTTGATATATCGGTATTTGAATGAAAAACCCAATTCCTTGGCCCTCGATGGAATCACCTTCTGCCCATCCAACACTTAAAATACACATTACCAGGCATTTGGATAATATTTGGTTGAAGTTAATGGGAAAAAAATAAAAGTATAAAAGTATAATATATACATAATAGTTATATATTATACAACTTATCTATAATTTTCATATATTATTTCTACCCAGTTATATACAACTACAATATCATACAACTTAAATACAATTTTTATACAAATTTTATACAATATGTCTTTTGTATATTTTGTATTTGATTTATACATAGTAAAAATAATTGGGAATACAACTAATTATATATTATACAATTTATCTACAACTTTCATATATTATTTCTACACAATTATATACAACTACAATATGATACAACTTAAATACAATTTTTATACAAATATTGTTCAACTTCCATACAATATTTAAGTAAAAAAAATATATATATAAACAATAAAATATAATTTTTCTACAAATTTACTACAACTTTACTACAATTTCGTAAGTATAATGTATGTCATGTCGTCTTCTTCTTTTTCGAGTTTCAATCTGAAATGCAACTAAAATCAAGTCTAATCTTCACCAAAACACCCTCAAAATTGAGATATAAACTCCAAACAATATTCCTAATTGTTTGCAACAACACCCAATTCAAACAAATAATGGTTTTTGAAAACCCAAATTCGAATTCAAAACTTTTTAATGGCTGTCAATGATGGAATTGCTGCTCTATTTTTCTTTGCTCTACATTACTGGAATTAGGGATTGAGAGATATAGAGAGAGACGTAGAGAGAGAGAGAGCGCAAGAGGGAGAGAGAATAAGGATGGAAAATAATTGATTTCTAATATAAAGGGATACTCATTTAATTCATAAAGTGTATATAATTGGTAAATTTGTATATAGGATGTAATTAAATTGAAACTTGAGTAGGGGGGTAATAAAGTTTCAAATAGTGTATAAGAATATAAAAATCTCGCTAAACAATGAATCAAAACCCAACCCGCCCAACTTGACCCATGTTTTAGAACCATGCTCATCTTGCATAAATAAAGCCTTTTACCTTTCATACACCTATGTATAAAAGGTAAATAAATACTATTAGTATTTTGGGAATCAAAAAATATTTTCTTACATAACAAATTAGTATTTAAAATGTCTAAGTTGAAAAAATATTTTGCAGGTGGGGTGGATGGTGCAGAAAAATGAAAAAACAGAAAATTAAAAATACAAAAAAAAATAAAAAAATTGCGAGGGGTGGGGGTGGTTGGGGTGGTGCAGAAAAACGAAAAAACAGAAAACAGAAAATTAAAAATACAAAAAAAAGTTAAAAAAAAAAATATTTTGCTGGGTGGGGTGGGTG